ATCATTCTATTTCTGCTCTGTACTTTTTTTGCGTCTTATTTTTCTTTTCCTTTTCGTGTGCTATATGTACTGTTTAATCCAACTCCACGTTACAAATGTTTGCAAAATCTATTGAGGATCATATGACCACATTTTGTAATATGTTTAAAGAACATTATATTCGTTTTGAATGCAATCTGACTTTTAAAAGAAAGTTTGCCTGGATGGACGTTGGAAGAATATAATAAGCTTCTTGTTGAAGAGTTTATAAACGTTTTTAGCGTCCTACTGTTATAAGTATATAATTGTGAATTGCCTATAGAGCTTAAAACTTATAAAAGATGTTTTAGATCGATCTTTTATGTAAGAATCCTTGATTATGGGGAAAAGTATAAGTCTAAGTTAATACGTTTATTAGAAATAGACTTCTTACTGAATAACTCTGTTTAAATACCCGAGTATTGCATAAACTATATGATATGTAGAAAAGATGAATTATGAATTAAAACGGTCCTAAACTTATAGATAGACATATTTTATTACCTGCCAAGTTTTATTTGCTAATGAGATACATTGATGAACTTAAACGTACAGTATGTCTGATGAACTGTGACCATGATTTCTAACTGATCGGTTTAATATAAAATGTGTTTAATTTGATGAACATCGAGATATTATCTGACGTAATAAGAGGGAGGAAACAACGATGTTATGTTATGATAAGACACCACGTTATTCATGATACCTTTATAAGAGGACATAAAAGAGAAACAATCAAGGACGGTTCACATCTGATATTAAATGATGTATATACATACACTTCAGGCTTATTTTCACTACCATCTTTTTGCATCATTATTGTTATTATTAGTATATGAATATCATCGACGCATATATACATGTCTAACAAACACACTGCATGAAAATATTTGAATTATACATCAGAATTGAAATCGATGATGACGATGGTGAATATTAGCACGTTCTCTCTCAATATGTTTTGTAAACTTTTTATTAATAAAAACGTTTGATATCTTTTCTTCTGTTATCATTATTTTAGGCTTTTCTCAATGCCCATAAACAAGCTCCTGCGGGTGTTATGGGTAATTTATACAGTAAAGCAAAACGTGCAATAGTAATGAGAACAATTGGGCAAAAAACTCACAAACAAAACATATTACCGATTCGAATTAATGAATTGGATGCAAAAATTGAAAATCGAGCAACAACATTAGATGAAAAATCACCGGCTGTTCTCAAATATAGAACACCACATTTCAGGTATACAACGGCTAGTTTTAAATTCACCTATATTTATATTAAATTCTGACGTTTTACTCTAAGGGCTACAGCTACCGTTAAATTTCCAGCATTAGAATCCGGTGAACATTGGAAAATTGGAT